CCCCCCCCCCAGCCGAGCTCCGGGTGATCGCGCCCACGGCAAGACAAGATTACCGGTTCTCAAAAAAAAAGGAAAAAAATAAAAGAATCTGTCCCCTGGTGTGTAGTGTGTAAAGGGGGGGGGGGATGAAAATACTTTTGCGCCCTGAGGGGCACCACATTCACATACAACACCAAGTCATCTTCCCAGCAGGGCCCGGGCTTGCCGGTGGTGAGCCGGAGAAGTGATGTGCATGCGCGTGCATGCATGCGCGCGAGTGAGGAAACGCCCAAGCACCGAGCGGGACGGCAGTCACTTGTCCAGCGACACCTCGCGACGCTCGGCATATCCCTCGGCCTTGGCGATCTTCACCAGGAAGGGACACACGGCAATGAACTCCAAGGCTTGTTGCTCCTCCGGGGTCAGCTCGGCGCGGCTTTGGTTCAGGACGTTAAAGAGATCGGAGGCCACTCGGGTCCCGAGGCCGAGGCCGCGCGTCTCGCCGGGCAGCACAAAGTGCGTGAGGCGGAGGAGCACCCGGCGATCCGGCTCGGGGCCCTGCTCGGCCGTGAAGTCGCACACCACCGAGATGTCCTTCTGCACTGGGGTCGCGCCGGCCGGAATTCGCAGCTCGAAGCGCCCGGCATCGGTGGCTGGCGGCGACACCAGCTTAGCCGTGGCGGCATAGCCAAGGGGCGAGGTTCGCGGGAAACGCCGGAGAAGGGCGCCAACAACAGGAAGCATGGTGGATGTATGTGTGTGTGTGTGCTTTCTGAGAGGGAGAGGGAGGCAGAAAGTAGAAGAAGGATAAGGTGGAGGGGGGGGGGGAGGCGTTAGGCAGTCGGCCTTGGAGCTGACGAAGGCCGGGCAAAGCAAAGGACATGCATGTCGTGGAGCAGGCCTCCTCGCCGCAGCCAGGTGGGGACCTCTTTTCCCTCAGGGCCTGGGTGGTGGCGGGACGCGGGGCGCGGGGCGCCGGGCGCGAGGGAGGGACATCTCAGCCGCGCAGGGCAATGAAAAACACACCCAAGGGCTGGGGATCTCCCCCCCCGGCCGACGGAAGATGCCCGTGTCAGGGGAGGGCGCGGTGACTGGCGATCGTAGGCCGTGGTCACGTGCGCCCGTCGATCGCGATCGTGTCCTCGGGACACTCGTCGATGGCGAGTTCTTGTGTCCCCGGCCGTCTGCCGCGCAGGGCCGAGAGTGTCAGCCTTCCGGGACATTCGGCGCGGACACCCAGGATCGGGCCCCCTTCAACAGGCGGCCCCTGCCGCGGGTCTCCCTCGGCGTGCCTGGCACCCCCCCCCCCCTCCTGCTTTCCCAAGACACACACACACACACACGCACGCACCTTTGTGTCCCTTCTTCTGCCCCTTCCTCGCCCCCTCCATCGCCTCTCGTCATGACACAAGACCCCGCCATTAGCGCCGAGTATCTGGCCACCACGCCACTGCCCTCGACCACCTGGGGCCCGGTCGATATCCATGCCCCGGGTGCGGTGGCCGAGCTGCACCGCCGCATCGCCGAGACGCAGGAGGCCCTGCGCGTGCGCGTCGAGCTCCTCCTCTCGGTGCGCTGGCCCTCCCCCTTCCTTCCTCCTCCTCCTCTTCTCTCCCTCCCTCCTCCTTCACCCCCTGGCGCTGACTTCCTTCTGTCGGAACCGGCCAGCTGAATGTCGGCCGGGACGATTCGCTTCTGGACGCCGAGGGCTACCCCCGTTCGGACATCTGCGTTCACACCGTTCGCCTAGCCCGGAGCCAAGCTGACAGTGCGTGCGGAGGCCCGACAAATGGACACATTTGCGCGTCCCTGCCCCCACTTCCTTCTGTCGGAACCGGCCAGCTGAATGTCGGCCGGGACGATTCGCTTCTGGACGCCGAGGGCTACCCCCGTTCGGACATCTGCGTTCACACCGTTCGCCTAGCCCGGAGCCAAGCTGACAGTGCGTGCGGAGGCCCGACAAATGGACACATTTGCGCGTCCCTGCCCCCCCCCCCCCCCC